ATTTTAACGTGCCGGATACAAACTGGGGACCATGTTTTTTTTTTCACGTTGTCTTAATGAAGAGTATGGGGAACACGATACATAGGGTCTGACAACACGTTGTCGTGGTATGCAAATTTTAAATGGGGGGCAATAAATATATATAGGCAAAAAATACAGTTAATTGGAAAATTGGCAAACTTTTTAGGCTTTAGTAAAGTCTTTTAACGGTAATCTCGAGCTTTCGGCATTCTCTATGGAGCCTTCTTCAGGAGCTGAAAACACAATTATGATGCTAGCAACCAATACGGGAAACATTTAAATTGTCAAACAACTTACCCGTCGTTGAGGTTGCAGCCAAATGGTATTTCAAAACGAACGCGGGGATGAGAGCACTTGTTACAAATATAAAGCCAAACGGACGGACACATTGGGTTTATTGATAACGACGGAAACCATCGTTAGGTGTTAACACTATATATCAATACACCCGAACACATTAAAAATTAACGAAAAGCAATTTTGGGGGCAAAAACCGGAACGTTCCTTCTAACCTCCTACATCTGCTTCACGTGGAGAAGATGAGCGGACCGGAAGAATGATGCGTCGACAGATGACAGGTGATTGTCGCGAAGGAATATGTAACTGTAACCATCATTGCCAAATTTCAGGTATAATGTATACTAGGGACGCTCGGTAAAACCTCATCCTGATTACCAAAATGCTGAATTAAATTTGTTCGTATGAGTGTACGAGTGTAAAATGGTGATACACGCTTGAAAAGATGGGTTGTGTGTAATTATATTAAAATTTATTATTTGTATGAGGGAAGTGTTTCAATTATCAGGATAAACAATTGGAATTGTGTTTTAATTTTGGGAGGACGTTAGATCGACTGGTATATGTAGACGTTCTAACTTTTCGCAATTCAACAAGTAGGAATAAATGACACTAAGCTGCTTAACACCAGCCTTTTTATTCATGCAATGATCTGTCATGGAAATGTGGGACATTTTAATAAATAGACGTTTTGAGAGTTGCACAAATATACAGGGTGATGCATTTGAAATTTTTGAGAAAAAATACAATTCGCGTTTTTGACCACCCTGTATGAGCAAAAATGAAAATTCGGAAAAGTAACAAATAAGATAAAAGCTGAGGTGTGAGGTTGCCGAAGTGTGCAGTTTTTCTGGACAAAACACATTACATCTCAGTAGCTAATTACCAAAACCCCATAGTATTATATCAATCTTCTTCTTTTGAATTGGTTTATCCAAATATGCAATAAAATTTGAGCCATTCCATTTAAAAAATCACGTATGTCAAAATTGGGACAGCCTGTTAATTGCCAATATTTTATAAATGTGCCCCCCACCATTTTTAGAAAAATTTTAGAAGAGGTTGAGTTGTTGGGGGTGGAGGAAGGTGTATGTAATTTTTTTATAGTGATATGCTTATATGCTCCTAACCCCGGTAATTCTACAGATTTATTAGCCATATTTCATCCATCTTATGTTTCCCCATACATTTGTCTTTAAAACTTGGAATGATATAGAAATGTTTACGATACACGTCTTCTTCTGCTATCTAGGCTCAGCGTCCGGTGTAACGGTCTGCTTGACTGTTCTACTCGTACTGCGGCGGTGCTTCAATTGGCGCTGTCGGATCTGACGATCTCGGAAGGGGCAACGTTGACAGTTGGACAGCAACTACTGGTGTGGCAGTGAAAGAATTTGGACTAAGTGTATGGACCTGTTTTTTTTTCAGGGGATTTAACTTGTATTGAGCTTATCCTTTATGAACTGATAACGGCGTTGCGTTGGAAGTGCAGTGTTAACCTACTTGACGCCATTTTTCCAAATTTCGTTACAAATTTAAAGAGATATTTCCAACACAAGACGATTTGTAATGATTTGGCTTTTTCATGGCCGTTCAAGTTACAAGCCATGCTAAGTAAGGTATGAGATGATAAAATCAGGCCAAGAAACCGAGGTTCTTTCTTGCCAAATTGTACATGTACATAGGTACGAATGTATACAGGGTGTTCATTTGAAAACTTCCTACCACGGATTTATCGAAAACCAATGATTAGAAGACAAAAGGCGGAGACACGTCAAAAGATCTGTCAAGGGGGACAACTTTTTAACCAAAAACTACTTCACCCCCTTTCACCCTCGGCCCCACAGGTTCATTCCCTAAAAAATCTCAAGTGGCAAGGGGTATCGATTAACAGTTTGTTCAAAAGGTCTTTGGAAATCCTTTATTTTGACGTTTGATTTTTTACAATCAGTCGATTCGTTTTCGAGAAAATTAGAAAAATCTTCATCTATCATAATTTGTTCAGATAGAAAACAAAAGCACTCGAAAATATCACTTTTTATTTCAATAAGTGTTCAAAATGTTGCCCGTTAGGGTTTGCTAAATCCACAATTCGTTTATAATTTAAAACGGAAACTACCAACATAAACAGCAATTCGGAAGATTAGACGTGCCATCTACCAAATAACAACCCGAATTTTTTTCCGCATTCTTTTCATCAACACAGATATCCTGGGCACACTCTATTTATTGTTATACCTGTTTAGTTATTTGTTGCTAAGGGAAACAAAGAATTTAATTTGCTGTCAGTTACTTTTGTGACAATCTTGGGATAGTGAAAATTCATTTATTGATTTAGATTTTACTTCCAAAATGGTTTACACACTAGCCGAAAGAGTTCAAATGATTCCAATGTATGGTGTCCAAAATCAATGTGCTCAGCAAACTGCCATCACGTTTAACGCCAGACATCTGGGGAAGATAACTTCGCATAGGTATGTTTTTACTAAATTTACTCAAACTGTATCTGTTGCAAATAAAAAACGTGATCATCCGAGAGTTTTTGATGAAGCCGCTAAAGTTAGTTTTGGGTCATTTACGATTAAATCCTAATACTTTATTACGCAAAATTGTTGCTGTGATTGGTATTTCATTAGGCTCTGTACACACAGTTACTAAACTCCATAAATTCCATACATTCAAAATGAAAATAATGCAAAAGTTTAACCGAAAATGATTTCAATAGGCAAGTTTAGTTTTGTGAACAAATGACTGCAGCGATTAATGATAATACCATTAATATAAAGAATATCTGCTTCAGCGATGAATGCACATTTTATCTAAATGAATTTGTTAATAAGCACAACTGCAGGTATTGGAGCAATGAAAATCCTCATGCTTTTGTAGAAGGGCATACCCAGTACCCCCAAAAAAATAATGTATGGGCAGGCATTTTAGGAAACAAAGTGATTTGGTCATTGTTTATTAATGGTAATTTGAATGGAGACATTTATTTGGATATGTTGGAAAATACCATCAATCCGCTTATCATGAAACCATTGAAAACCAAATCGATGAGGACGAAAAAAAAACCGCTTACCTTCGATAGTCTGTCAGCCCGCCGTTTTGAAAGATACTATTCCATGTTTTATGGTTCTAAAATACTCATAAGGTGCTTCAAAATGAACATGACCCCTACGATTCACCATTTCGAAATATTTAACTGCCTCTTTTACATTAAAATATATCAGGCGATCAATTCACTAACTCAAAATTCAGCTCGTTAAATTGATCTATTCAAAAAATAAGTAGGAGTTATCTTAAGCACCGTCTATAAGATCTTGTAATCATCGTATATTTTTTATGAATATATTATGATAAAATTTATGACACCTTGTAGAACCAAGAACCAACAATTATATCGGACACATACTCGTATATGGACTTTCCTATTACATGACGCCCTTCATAGTGTTTTGGCTCTAAATTCCCTCTGACCAATTTTACAATGTAAATTACGAATTAAACTAAATAATATTTTCTATAACTTATGTATTTACCTTTTTTTGCTGAATAGTGATAGTGTACGAGAATAATAAATATAAATTTCATTGTGAAAATGACTATAATTTAATTCAAAATAACGAAGACATTCAATGCCATCATTAACACTTTTTTGCAAGAATGTAGCCGTGGAAGTGCTGCAGAGCAATTCAGCATCTAACTACACACTACACTAGGTGACAGAAAATGCATTTTATGCAATTTGTTGCATTGCTGTTTTCATAGCTTTCTATTTCAAATAATAGAACATAAGATGAAGGAAGTGTTCTCTAGTTTAGTCTGTTGTAGAGCTATTTTTCTCTAAGAAAGGCCTAGACATAGGGTACCAGAACGTAATCAAGCACTTTTGGTCGTTGAAATCTATAAAAGCAGTTATTTTTGAATTTCTCAAAACGTTCAAGGTAAAACTACGAAATCATTGAGCCAATGAATGATTTCCCGTATTCTCGTGTTGAAAGTTTTCCCTGTCGCGTCCGCACGCCAAACTATTAATACCACAAAATACATAAATTGTAGTTTTCTAATTTAACTAATCATATAGCTGGGCAATTTTCAACAGTATCAAAATTTTCGAAAAAATAAAATCTCTAACTTTCAAAATAGCATAATAATGAAAGTTCCATGACTCGTAGACAGCTCCAAGCCGAGCTAGATTCACTCCAGTTTCCATAGTTTTTGCGAAAACACCTAAGTAAGAATAGAATGGAAGTTGACCGCTAAGGCTTGAAAAAATTATGTCTAAAAGTAAGATAAACGCTAGCCAACAGAGCTATAGAAAGATCTGCTTCTAGAAATATGTAAATTCAATATTGGAACCACTTTTATGGATGTCACCGTCGATTTCATCCAAAGAGGTGACATCCTCGGAATGGCAAAGATCTTTCTTTTGACGCTTGTCTTAAGTCTCACGTACTCTATCTTGTGTAATTCAAATTCAAATGTCATAAAAATAGTTTTTTGCGAATCTTTTGTTTCTTTAAGCTAAATGTCATTTGAATATATGGAAAAGTTGTAGAGTAAATATTTTTCTACCGTTCAGTAATTAAGCATTCTCGAGAGCCCACAGACATTAGCTTGTTATTTCCCATACCGAGCTTTTATAGTTTTTTTTAATGAATTAAATGAAAAAAATGGCATACCTTCAAAGGGATAGAGCGCTCTGCACGTTCCAATAACTGGCAATAGTTCGGCCTCATAGTATTCTCCCTCCTGCATATCGTCCCGTCCATCATACTGGTCGGGATCGGAGTCAGCATGGTGTAAGGACGTATGTGACGCTCCCAGGCCGCTCTCGGGGCTATTGGAACAACTACGTCAAAATACAGTTTCAATTTTGGATGTAAGCGTAAGGGAGAACAGGAGAAGGAAAATCTTTTGATGGGTAAGTTCATATTTTGTTATATAGGGTGTCCCAAATATAATACCAATCTTTGGTATGCTAATAGAGCACAAAAAATATCCTACAGGGCTCCCACTAGTTATAGATACCTGAAGAACGCTACTGGAAATCGGTTTTAGTCAAATAACTTTTAAACGACACTGTATAATTCAATGAAATTTTGTCATGTGAGGCCTACATGACCGTAATAATGGGGAGACGATAACATATTGCGTTAGGGCTAGTTCGTCCCTGCCTATCTAAATGAGTTATTTGTAGGACTAGAACTGGTTAATTAACTGAAAATTGGTTGCATTATACAGTCTCAAAGGTTACTTGGGAACACCCCATTTCCTGTATTCTTGGAGGCCAGCATCACCGTAGGGACCCGGTAGAACATTTTTATAATTTCTTGTGACATTATTTAATGTATTCTATTTATATGTATACGAAGATTGACATGTTATTCTGGGGCAGTGTATATTCCGGAATAAAATACACCACAGCCTTATTTATAAAAGCGACCCAAATAAAGTTGCCGTCCCTGATCAGTTGCCCACCTGTTAATCAGTGATCTCTCTAACTTCCCAATGGCATTCTCAAAAGCATTGATAAAATCGGATAACAGTTCAGCTGGAGAGCCACACCTTATACAAGAGGTGTCACAAGCAGTTGATTAGTGTGTAGTCATCAGACTCAAGAAATATGTTTGCGTACAAGATGCTGTTTTCCCTTCTTAGCACATTTATTTATGTATTGCCAGTTTTTGATTAAAAGTTACTATATATTCGTCACCCTAATATTACAAGGTTGTATGTGACATTTTTTACTTTTTCGGGTTTTCGGTATTACGAAGTTCTATAGGACAATTACTATATTTTCAACTTGGAAAGAAACCTCTAGCTAACATAGAACCTTAGTTATCAACAGAAAATCAAGGGTACATGTTGGAAAATATATCTTTTGTGTGTACCAAAGGTGTATGTTGAACATAGAACTTAATAAATAATAACTTAATAATAAATTAAAACTCAAGAAAATGTAACACCGTTCTTATGTTGCAACCAATAATAATATTTTGACGTTAGTTTGGTAAGTGGATTAATTATAAAGAAGTTATATGAAATGTATTTGGAATATGCAAATGATAAAGAAAAAATTCCGGTGTCCTTTTGCATATACAGAAAAATATTTTCTGGTTGTTTCAACATAGCTTTTCCCAAATTACATAAAGACACATGTGATAATCGCGAAGAAATTAAAGTGAAAAAACAGGAGATTAGGATGAAATAGGAGGGGGAAAGAGCCTACATAAATCATTTAAATGAAAAAGAATATATGAGAAAAGAAAAGGTAAGGAAAGCGGAAATATTCTATTATGTTTTGATATTGAAAATGTCCTGCCGTGACCATAGGCAGATATAACGTAAATTAAACGTTGACAATATAACTGCTCACCTGTCTACTACAAAACAAGTTTATTGTGCAGTGTGAACTGAGGCCTTACCTTACCGACATAATTTTGTGGAGTGATAGCTGCGTACCACAAAGCAGAAACAGTCTCATGAGTTATGCCCTAATCCACCTAATTCAAACCCACAAAAATTTACAACAATACAATGAAATTTTCAGACTCTTGCATTCAAGAAGTAGATGCTATCCTTAGCTGCAAAGGTCGTTAAGCAAAGTAGAATATTATTCCTCCAGTCTCACTTATTCGCTTTTTATTGAGAGTAAACCGACAGAAGCCTTACACAATATTTCGGATGAAGAAAGAGGACTTCATAGACCAGTATTATTCAAGCCAATTAAACTATAATTTGGTCCCATTTTCGAAAGTAGTATGTTGACAATTTTCTACAAACTTTTTTGAGCTGAAATATAAAGATTCTTTTGAGATGAAAAAAATCGTAAGTATGCACCAGCGAAAACTACGAAGACCACAACACGTTACGGCTGAAACTGGAACTTAAAAAATGTGACAACAGTGTTGAACTACCTCAAACAAAAGTGGGTGCTATAAGATCGAAGTACAAGTGGATTTTTGAGATGGATAGACAATACTACAAGTCTATTTTTAGGAACAAATAAAGTCTAACCTGTAGCATCATTTTAAGTGCCAAAGTTCTATGTTACGCAGTTAAAGAAAATTGTTGACCTTAAGAGTACCAAAGTTCCATGTTTTTTAAATAAATAAATTTATCGATACTGTTTAATTTTTTGGAAAAAAATTCCAATTAGAACTCTTAAATTGACCTCTATGAACACCACATGTAAATTAAAACCATTCATATATCTATATTAAGGATTAAAACTAAAGTAATTTTTTAAAATCGATTTATCTCAAAATAGGCACAATGCTACATGCAACGTTTTAATATTAGGGTAACGATATGCTGATTGATTAGCTGGTTAGATTTTAATTACGAAATACGAATACGATTTTGCTTTCAATCAGAACTTTTAACCAAAATAGTCATTCCGCATTCTTATTAGTACCTAAATATAAAGACATACGGTTTTAAAATTATATTTACTGAATTTGGAAACAAATATGGTAGTATAATCAGTAATAGCATGTTGACCTACATATATGATAGATAATTATATTTTCTATGTTTTTGACCTTCGCCAAAGATCCATTGCATTTTTCCAAAAAGTATTTTTATTGTGCATCAAATCTTTTTATTGGATAACTATAGTGACAATAATAGGAATTCCCATATGATGCTCACCTAGGTATTTACTTTTAGCCCAGAATCTGGTCTGATCATGACACTATTTAGAAAAACAGCGCAGAATTCATGCAATGTATCCCACTGCCTCCAATAATAGGTATTTTGCCATTGTTGCTGATTGATGGAGATAATATTTCGTATTGTTCACCTTCCAAAATCACGAATTATGCAGAATTGTTGATATGCTGTACTGTTAAAATTTACTTTCGTTTATTTGCCTTATATAATTTATCCGTTTATTAACAATAACTGAGCTATTCACATCGAAACACAAATAATATTTCCACCTTGCTCTAGCTAGGTAACCCCAGTATGTTTACTGCATTTTTTAAATTTTTTCGCCAATACATTTATGATTACAATTACAAAATACCACTGATCACGTTATTTAACCAAAATAGTTGACTTTATCAAATATTTCATATTAACTACACTTCGTAAGCATAAAAGCTGTCTTCCATTATTGTTGGTTAATCATTTACACATCCAAGATATATGTTTTCAAAAATTATTTCCTATGGTCCGACACAGTGTCTCTGAAATTTCATCAAAGTAATACAGAAAAATAAACAATCATACGTATACCGCTGGTTTCCTGTTTGCAACCTTACATTCTCTATGGCGTGCGAAAAACTGTTTGATCGCAATAAAAGTACAAATAATGTGAAAAAACATTTTATTTCTCCAAATTTGAAAAAAAAATTGATAGCAAAAAAAGGAGCTTTGTGGATTTGAACCTCTGTCCAGCGGTTCACAAATCACCGCTCTCCCACTATGCTACGATGCCTCTTGGTTTACTGGATCTTTATACCACTACACTTGACACTGACAAATGTCAAGCGAACGTTGAAGGCATATCAAATCTATTATATAAACAATTAGAATACTCTTGAAAACTATACAAGATGCAATGCTGAAACTTCAAACAATGTATTAGGTGCTAATACCGAGCATTTTTCCTAATTTTTCAGACGGTCAGTTCGCTACAATTGGTTGATATTTGTCTACTGTTTTTTATTTTCCAATATTTTGAGCTCGCAGTCATTTTAATCGTACGAGATTTCGAAAACAGTCGTATACTATATTAAAGCTTTTAGAGAAACGGTCCAGGGAATTATATGTCGTAAAGAAACTTGATAATGCAGCCATTTAGCACATGCTACATACTAACTAGGCTAAGACAGTTTGAAGCATAATTGTCTTCATTTTGCGTGCTAACTTTATAAACAGTTCAGCGCATTTAGGTATCTATCAAATATTTATTTTTATAAACTTTAGGGCTCATCTGTGACCGTGTAAGAATTTCAGCTCTAAATACATATACACAAGAGTATGAAGAAATCGTTTTCTTCGCAACAAAATGTGATGGACACATGTGCTTTGTTTTAAAATGTGTATAATAACTTATGTTTTTCGAATATCGTAGCGAATCTGTACAATTACTCACAAATACGAAGTGTTTGAATTTGTTTAGAACAAAAAACGTAGCCTTCGTTTTCGCATAAAAAAACAATTATCTTTCGGAATGGTTTGTGATTTATATCTTCAAGCTAAGCTCGTGTATTTTGCTATAAAATGCCCTTTGAACGAACCCTGTATATTGCTCAGTAAGCTAGTAGTGATGGCCGAAAGACAGGTGTTTTGGGATAAACAATTAGAAATTCTCAAAGACTACTTGACCAATCGACTCCAATTTTGTTGTGCTTACCTAGAAGTATGAATCCTACGGATATTAAGAATTTCAAGTAGCTGCGTGGAATTATCGTCGCATTAGCAGCAAGTGCCAAAACCTGCATTTTGCTTCGTTTTTTGGCTATACCTTCTTTACTATTAGACGGATCTTTTTACGTGTGGTATCATTTTGTAGGTCTCATAAAGACCTAAAAATCTTATTTGAAGAGTTTTTTCGTTCATGCCAACACTTTAGATTGAAGCCCAAAAAAACAGGTTTTGTCATTCTTTGTTGTCGAATAAAAAGTTTTCCCACAAAAATTGGTGTACCCATTTTATGCGTCCATGTTTAAAATACCCCCATGAACAACTTGCATCAATAAAACCAGACTTTACAATTATTTCGCAAACCAGGGGAATTTTCATCTAATATTATTAGACTATAATTACTTTTGTCGAATGTAATTATTAAATGTTACAATATAATTATTAAATTGAATTATCCGATATTGAAAAGGTTTACTTTTGAGCTATTTATGAGAATTTCCATAGGAATAATTACATAAAAATAAAATAAAACTTTGCAACTCGTTTTTCCTTTGACAAATAACGTAAGTATTGTGATAACTGGGGTGTGAACCAAACACCATTTGCTTCGTAACTAATTCATTTCTCTCCTGTCTAGTCAAGGTCGACCAACTGACTGACAAAAAACATTCAAACATAAATACCAGTTTAGTCCTAAAAGTATATTATGAAAACTACGAAAAAAGGCAGTACATTTGTTTTTGCAGAGTATAAAAGCAGAAAACCACATGTTACTGCTTTTTGCTTTAAAACTTTTAAAGACGAAATGCCATTTATTTTATGTTCTGTTGTAAATCTGCTATTTATTTAGTCAGAAAAAAATCCAGAATTTTGAACTCAATTTTCTCAGGCTTCAATTTTTACACTTTACTGCCGAAGTACCGCAGTATAGCTACTTGAATATCCTTTCAAGAGAAAAAATGTACGCCGATGTGTTGGCTTGTCACTGTAATAGGCAAAGATGATTATAAGTGAACATTCCTTTCCTTTGCACTCACCCGTGATTGAGCTGCGGTGTACCGGGTGCACTCTTCCCTCCCGCTCCGCCTCCATTTGTCCCCGTCCCACTTCCTACATCATTCCTGCCATTCTGTACACTGCTGTCACTCGCTGATCGGCTCAGTGACTCCCGTTCTTCACTGCCAACACTGCCGCGTCGTACCCCTCCTGCCACACCTGTTCTCCGCCTCTGTCCGCCCGCTCCGCCATTCGCAAGTAGTTGGGGTGAGTTGTTATCGCCCCCACCTGAGCTCGGTTGGATGCTCCGCACGCACTCTTCCAAGAAGGACTGGTAGCGGGATAGTTCTTGGTGCAGTTTGTCCAAACGGTGTGAGCATTCGTTTAACTGACCTGTAAACAAGTTAAATATTTTTTCACAACTTGACATACCGCATTCCTATAAGGAGAAGTTTCTTTTCTTCCTCTATCTAAATGATGATACTGAAAAAATATCCAGGTACAAAACTGATCGATCCAATATGAACATACCTCTTACATTTTCTGGCCTCTAAAAATACCGTATTGCAACATTGTATCAGCGTTTAAGCTGATTCAAAGAGTATCTAGGTATTGTGAAACAGTTTTTGACAAGGTTTCTGGAATGATATTGTGGTATCCAAAATCCTACATGCAGTTTAAATGTGGTGTCTGTTGCTTTCCCGCAAAACAAAGTTAGTCGGTAGATATGAGACCTCAGGGTGACGTTCTTTGTACATTGGTTTTTGGATGCAAATAGTTGTGGTTTGGGCGCCACCTAGTTTGTACTAAGAACTAAGAAAAGAAATAACAAGTAACCAATGTTGAATCTCTGGCGCTGAAGGAGATACAAAGTAACGAGGTACACAAACCTTTATTACACAAGAAAATAAAAAAAATTAAAGAAGTCCTGGAGGACAAGCAAACTAGAATTATTTTATACTTACAACCCCCCCCCCCCAGCTAAATGGCTACCAATAAAACTAAAATAAAAAGAAGAGGAAAGGCAACCGAGGGCCGGAAGTCCCAGATGTAACTCTACACTCGAAGGTAGAACCCTAAATAGAAAAAATTACTTGTTAAAAATAACCCGAAATAACGATTTGGCTTATAATTTGCTTCCAAGAGTTAAACATTTAACTTTAAAATGGAACCATTTAGTCTTGGGTTACACCAATTTCAAAAATTTAAAATTAACAAAGCTGCTGCCGTTCAATCACGGTGTACAAGGAAAATCGTGAGCATGACTGACTAAAATTTCAGTAAATATACAACCAAAATCATAAGCTACAGCAATAAGAAAATAACACTATATTATTCTCAGTGTATGTACTGATACAGAACAATATAAAAATGTTACCAATGAGAAATCCAAAACATTTCTCTCTTTTTACAACTCAATAAGTTGAGGAACTAATAGCTTTTGACGAATTCAATGGATAATTAAATGGTTAAAATATAACCCTATTTTTTTTATATATATATGTATATATAAATCGAGGAAGCCGCGCAGGCTATGCCGGAACACCGCGGCTGCTATGATGATCCCAAAGAAATTTTGTTAATACGATTTTTGAACTGCCTAACGTTAGTAGAACTGGGAAAAGCCTCCTCTTGTAGATTTTTCCACAATCGCGACACCCTCGGGACAAAGGAGCGGTCGTATCGGCCAGTACTGGATGTACGAAGTTCGACACGGTTAGGATTTGACGCCAAAGTCAGCCGGGTCTGTCTGGCAGACGCATCACGCGGCGGCATCATGGAAGAGAGCTCTGAGGAGCAAAGCCCATTGGTGTAGCGGTAGAAAAGAGCTAGATCGCCGACGGCCCGGCGGTGCGAAAGAGTCCTGAGACTGTCTGTTAGAGAAGAGTCATCGATCAGTCGGAACGCTCTCCTCTGGACAGCATCGAGCATAAATAATGTAGTCGGGGCGGCAGCACCCCAAACGTGTGAGCAATACTCGAGGCTAGGCCTTATCTGGGCCTTGTATAGAGTGAGAAGGTCATGCGGAAAAAAGTACTTCTTAGCCCTAAACAAATAGCCTAGCCTTTTCCCAGTAGCTGCCGTTATTGACGAGATGTGTTCGTGACAGATCAGGTCCTCGGTGATCTGGACTCTGACCAGACGATTTATACACCTCTCCATCAGAAACAGAAAGCAGAGCTATAGGCCTGTAGTTGTAAAGGTCGGTCTTAGATCCTTTTTTTGGGATCGGTTGGATATGAGCAAATTTCCGGATTCATAAGATATCTGGAAGAGACGCGAAGGAACTGGAGCAAGCTCCGCTGCACACCTCTTCAGTACAATTGCAGGAATCACGTCTGGACCAGAAGCTTTGTTGATGTCGAGCGACAAGAGCACTCGTCTTACGGTCTTATGCCTGAATGTTACCTCCCGCATAGTGTACGGAACCCTTTGAATTGACGGCACTTGGGCGTTGGGGGGGGACGCCATGGTGGAGTTGGCAGCAAAGATCAGACAGCCGACGCATCCGAGTCGGTGAAAGACATCTCTCCAAGAAAAGGTAGAGAAGAAGTGACTGAGCCCATCCCAGTCGGCATGTCCGTAATGCCAAGTTTTGCGGCCTGTACGAGTTTCTGCTGCCACAGCGGGTTCTGACCGGAACCTAACCTCCACAACACCGTGGTCTGGGTTACCCAGGGGGACAGGACAGCAGTGCTGTAAGAGACAGGATGCGTCGTCAGAAAGAGATCCAGCAGGCTACTGGCATTCGACTAGACGCGGGGAAAAAAGTAGGGCTCGTCACCAGCTGGGCTAGCCCTTGAGTAAGAGCGAACGCTTCAACTGCACGACCTGCTGCATCGGTCTTGTTTGAGCCCAACCAAAGCTCATTATGCGCATTGAAATCATCGAGAAGAACTACCTCTGAAGCGGGATGATTGATGTTCAGGAAGTCGATCTTGACGGCGAGGTATTAAAGTAGGTCATCCCAGTTATGGTCCGAGGGAGTGCGATAAAGCCAGCAAATAAATTATATACGAGTTCCTGCTTCCATAGCAGGTTCTGACCGGAACCTAACCTCCACAACGCCGTGGTCCGAGTTACCTAGAGGGGACAGGACAGCAGTGCTGTAAGAGACACGATGCGTGGTCAGAAAGAGATCCAGCAGGCTACTGGCATGTGACGAGACGCGGGAGAAAAAGTAGGGCTCGTCACCAGCTGGGTCAGCCCTGGAGTAAGAGCGAACGCTTCGACTGCACAACCTGCTGCATCGGTCTTATTCGTATTCAAGTAGGTCATCCCAGTTATGGTCTGAGGGAGAGCGATAAAGACAGCAAATAAATTTGGGTGATATTTTGGAGTTGAGGCGAAGCCACAGAATGTCCTTTCAGTCTGATTCCAAAGAAACATGTCTGGAGCAGGAAAGACTGCTGCGGACAAAAGCCATAACTCCCCCATTCTTTCTCAGATTGGAGTGCACCTCGTAATTTGGGAAGTTAAGATGGTTAATCGGTACAGATTCTGAGATTTTTGTCTCCGCCAAAAAAGCATGGCGGGAGGATTGGATTGCAGGTAGTGATGAACAGCATCAACGTTGCTGTTAATCCCGCAGATGTTTGAAAAACAAATTTTATCTTCGATGTACTCCCCACTTATATAAGTCACGCCCAAGGCCTGCCAAATTTTGGAAGAAGCTATCGAAACAGCTCCAGCGAAATATATCTCAGTCCCTAGGCGACAGAACACACTACCGTACGATAACGTTACCATACAGATAGAATGGTAGAGATCACATAAATAATGGTTACAACAGGGATAACTTTCGAGGACAGATACAAGCTGATCAAGGAGGGTAATCAACAACTCAAGGGACAAATTAATAGCTTGAACGAGACTGTTAATGAAGCCAAAAAAGACATAAACAACATCAATAATAAATATAGAGATATCGAAAAGGAAAACTCATTATTGAAAAGCAAAAACATTAATCTAGAGAATAAGCTGAAAAAATATAACTTAGTCATCTATGGGGTAAAGGAAAGTGATAAGAGGCCTATGGAAGATACTTTAAGCACTATCGAAGAAAAATTAGAATTTCAAATTTTCCCAAGTGCCGTAAGGGACTGTTTCCGTATTGGCAAAAAGCTATCCGATTCTGATAATAGAGCTAGGCCACTTGTCGTCGAATTCGTTAATTACAATGTAAAACAAAAAGTTTTGGAGAAGGCAAGAAAACTTCCTAAAGGTGGGCCTGTTTGTCGATAACGGTTACACTCCAGAAGAATACGCCAAGAGAAAATTACTTCATCAGCACCTGAAGAAAGCCAGACAAGCATCTAATTCTGCCTTTATTAAAAACAATATTCTCTATGTCAATGGCAAAGCATTTACCTGGGAAAAGCTACAGAATGACGATATTGACGACCATCAGGATGAAGGAATCATTGAGACAGTTATCTCCAAGCAGGATAAAAATACCGAAGAACAACCAATCCCTCAAGATACGAAAAGACTGGAAAAGAGACTGCAAGATGAACCAAGCAAGGTCAACAAGATAGTTCCAGCACGCTCATCTAAAAGTACCCTTACTTCCTCACAAAAAAGGCCTAAACTACGCAGTACTTCGAAGTAACTGATCTATTGTGTGTGGTTGTGTTGTGTGTGTGTCATTTTTTGCGTGAATTTACAAACGCTGAGCGCCTTCCTGTACCTTGTTTTATCGATTTATTATTCTGTGTCTATCCGGTTGTTTTTATTAGTATTGCATATATTTGTTGCATTTTCTTCATTCTGTATAGATCTAATATATTTATCACGTGGTTATACTCATTTTACTTGCAAAATATGTTGGCTCCTCTTTAAGAATAAGCCTTCGTCAGAAGACTTTTATATATAAATATATATATATATATATATATATATATATATATATATATATATATATTTTTATACCTGTTTTCAATATGTCTAGACATCTAAAATTCATTAGCTTCAACGTAAGGTCAATTCAGTCTGGTTTTCTAACATTGAAGGAGTATGTTGTTGACTGTGCTGTCGATGTCATGGGTATCAGTGAGACTTGGCTAACTCCAGACATTGATACCACTTCAGTATTTATCAACTACTTCAATGTCGTTAAAGCAGATCGAAATAGCAGAGGCGGAGGCGTCTCGTTTTATGTGAGAAACGGCCTTCAAAATATTGCACTCTAGTAGCACCACAGTATTGGAAGAACTTTGGATCTCTGTAAAGGTTAATAAACGTAAATATTGTCTAGCTGTAGTCTACCGTCCACCATCGGCAAACTTGCTTGACTGTTTTCATCAATTAACTGAGTCTTTAGCCAACCTTTCACTCGATAATGATTACGCAATTATCATGGGCGATTTTAATATTAATGTTTTAGTGAACGACGGCCGATCCGAGATACTGAACTGTTTTCTTGAGTCCTTTGATTTGTCTCAGTTAGTGAAAGAGCCCACACGTACAACTCCCAATAGTCAGACAGCTATAGACTTGCTCATAGTTAGCTCTGCTTATATAATAAGTGGTTATGAAGTTGTTGACGTAGATGGAATATCTGACCATCTGGCCCTAATATTTTATGTAGATGCATCGGAGATGTGCAACCTATGTAAGCTGAGGACATATCGTGATTACACTACCTTTAGTGTAGACAATTTTTACCATGATTTACATTTAATAAACTGGGATTTTATATATACGTTGAGAGATGTGGATCAAATGATTGACTTCCTGAGCTCTAATGTCTTGTGCACCTTCAACTTGCATGCTCCTGTCAGAAAAATTCGTGTTACCAAGCCACCAGCTACTTGGCGAACATTCAACATAAAACTCATGATGCGAACAAAAAGTGACGCATATAAAACATTTAAACGTACAAGAACGATTGCTGACTGGGAATTCTATAAGGCAATCAGAAATTATGTTTGTGGTGCTGTTAGGCGAGAGAAAAAAGCCTACATTGATTATGTTATGAGACAGAAAAATTCGAAGACTACATGGAATATACTCAGATCTTTGAATATCGTTAAACATAGTTTACCTCCACATCTTCAGGATCATGATTCATTAAAACGTACATCAAATAACCAAAACATCAACCCAATTAAACCTTTTAGACAAATATGAAAACGTCAAGAATAATGGTACTTTTCTGTTCACGACAGTTTCCCCTGCCACAGAGAAATTTATCAATCGCATCAAAAGTCATGCTAAAGGCTCAGATGGCATCACGATATTATCCGTATAACACATAAGCATTTGCTCAAGTATACTACCTTCATTATTAACTTTTGTATAACAAATAATCTTCACCACTCCTCCTGGAAGAATGCTCTTGTTCTCCCTCTGCCTAAGACTAATTATCCTTCAAGTTTTTCTAATCTTCGTCCTATAAGCATTTTACCAAGTCTATCTAAGCTTTTGGAAATGGCTCTACATGAGCAGCTGCACACATTTGTTTGTCAAAATAATTTACTGGCCACTTCCCAATCTGGCTTCAGACAATTACATAGCACCCCCACCGCGCTCCTGTCTATATCGGATAATATTTATAGCGCGGCTGATCAAGGAAAGCTGTTTTGCTTAGTCCTTCTTGATTTTAGCAAGGCCTTCGATACGGTTGACCCAAGTATTCTCTGTAAAAAGCTTAGATACTTTGGCCTGTCCTCATCGGCTTACGCGATGATTAGAAGCTACTTAACTGATCGCTCACAGTCTGTCATATATGAAAACAATATATCAACTTCTTTATACAGAAATTTTGGTGTCCCTCAAGGATCTATTTTGAGTCCTCTTTTATTTGCTCTTTATACAGGGTGTCCGCAAAGTTGGGGTTTTCCTTTTCAGAAACAACTACCCTTGAAATAACAAAGGTAATGTGTAGCGAAACGAGGGCGACCAAGTAAAAAAAAAATAAAGGAAAAAGTACTCTCTCTCCAGTTGACGAGAAGGGCTAAGTACGTCTCTGCCCGAAATCATACCGCTCCAACAGAAAATGAAATCAGCTGATGCGCTACCGAGCAGACGCAGGCAAACAAGGAAGGCAAAATGTTGCGTAAAAAGTCTAGGTATTGCATCCCGTCCAATCGATTTGAGAGAATAAATGGTCCAATGAGCATACCGTTCACCATGCCAGCCCAAACATTCACCGAAAATGTTTGTTGAAAATGTGCCCGACGGACAGCGTGCGGATTTTCTACTGACCAAACATGAGTGTTGTGAAAGTTATTCACCCCATTCCGCGTGAACGTAGATTCGTCTGTCACCAATATGCACTTCAAAAAGTCCGGATTATTGTCATGTTGATGCAACAACCACTCTTGCTGGAAAATCGTCAGGTTGAAGGGCTTGTACACGTTGGACGTGAAACGGATACAGCCCCTCTTCACGCAGCGTTTGCCACACTTTAGTTTTTGATACTTGCATTTCTCTAGCCACGTCTCTAGTGCTTGTTGAGGGATTCTCGTCTACGCGATTACCTCTACACGCGTGACCGTAACCGTCGGCTGAAGGTTGCATACTGACCTGACACACTGACCCCGACCCAGTTCTGTCGTCGGGTTGACAGTGACCTTGTACCACTTGGTGATGTCGCGGGTCGCGGCTACAGGACGGTATTCAGATATTTTTGATGTTACAGAGCCCTTTATCTCGGTTCCCTTAAGACATTGGTGTGTATATGGTACTAAGAAAAATTGCTTATGTTTTCAAGATCTACACGTCGTGTAAAGGAAAACCCCAACTTTGCGGACACCCTGTATATGTGATTTTCATGAAACCGCCAGCTACTCAATCGATCATCATTACGCCGATGATACCCAACTTTATAACACCTTCGATCCTGATGAATATATGCTCAATCAAGATCTGCAGTCTATTTTTGACATATCTAGTGCTCACAATCTAATACTGAATGCTGGCAAATCTTGCATTTTATTTGGGCCCAAAAAGAATCGCATTAATATTATGGTGAATAATGAAGACATATCCTTCGTAAACGAATGCAAAAACCTTGGTATCTGGTTTGACTGCAAGCTACGCTTCACTAAACATGTTAACCAACTATGCAAGGCGTCCTATAATGTGCTTCGTCAGTTATACCCGAGTCGAACTGTCCTGTCAACACAGCTCAAGCTTAAACTCTGCGAATCCCTTATCCTGCCAAAATTATCTTATGGTGACTCTGTTTATGGGCCTGCTCTCTTAAAACGTGATGCCGAGCGGATTCAGATGATACAAAACTCATGCATCAGATTTTCTTATGGAATCCGTAAATTTGATCATATTTTGACCAATCGGGATGGTTCAAGATGAATAAATTGAGGAAACTGCATTGCCTATCTCTGGTACATAAGACCCTTCTACTTAAAGCGCCATATTATCTTTATTAAAAGCTGAACCTCCTCTGTCAGTAGGATCGAAGATCCTTTAAGAATAAACGCATCTTACTTATACGAATGCAGCGCATTCGACAGCATTGTTCACACGTAGTTTCTCGTACTGGGCACCCAAACTATATAACTGCTTGTCAAGTGAGTATAAAGAACATAGCCGAAGCAATTTTAAAAAAAGGTTAAAGATGAGTTTAAATCAATCGGATGGCTAGAATTTAACTTTACGCATATCCACAGGTAATTGATTGTTTCCTTTTTCTGAGAAGTGTAATATTTTAAGCTTTTCTCTTTTTGGTGGTCAATGTTGTGAACTGTGCCATTTAAATGTAGGTATTTTTTTTCCTCTTTATAGTTTGTGTCAATGTTTTTTTAGGTCGGGTTGAAAAACAGCATAAGCTGACACTCGAACTTTTCGTCACTATTCCTTTTAAGCCAATTATTCTCTAATTATGTGACGAATAAAGGCCATTTATTATTATTAATATTATTATATTATTATTATATTTTTTTTATATCGAAACAGCCGCGCAGGCAGAAGCCTAACTGCCGGAACACCGCGGCTGCTATGATGATCCCAAAGAAATTTTGTTAATACGATTTTTGAACTGCCTAAGGTTAGTAGAACTGGGAATCGGCCAGTTCTGGATGTACGAAGTTTGACACGGTTAGGATGGGACGCCGAAGTCAGGCGGGTCTGTCTGGCAGGCACATCGCGCGGTGGCATCATGGAAGAGAGCTCTGAGGAGCAAAGCCCGTTGGTGTAGCGATAGAAAAGAGCTGGATCGCCGACGGCCCGCCGGTGCGAAAGAGTCCCGAGACTATCTGTTAGAGAAGAGTCATCGATCAGTCGGACCGCCCTCCTCTGGACATCATCGATCATGGACAATGTAGTCGGGGCGGCAGCTCCCCAAATGTGTGAACAATACTCGAGGCTAGGCCTTATCTGGGCCTTGTATAGAGTGAGAAGGTCATGCGGAGAAAAGTACTTCTTAGCCCTAAACAAATAGCCTAGCTTTTCCCAGCAGCTGCAGCTATTGGCGAGATGTGTTCGTGCCAGATCAGGTCCTCGGTGATCTGGACTCCGACCAGCCGAAATGAATGGCTCTTTGGTAGAACTCGGCCGTCCATCGAAACTGTATGAGCGCTAGGACGCTTTTTGTTCGTCAAAGTACAGTACTGTGTTTTGGAAGCATTGAACTGTACAAGAATTGTT